CCTGCCGCAAAGCCGCCGCCAGCGACCACGCCGCCGCCCGCTTCCACGCCTTCACAACCGCCCTCTGCCACTTAGCCGTCACCGTCGGTGACCCCCGCTCCTGGCCAGCCGTCCTCTGCCTCTTCGCTGTCACCGTCGGCGACCCCAGATCCAGACCAGCCGCCGCCGCCGCCGGACCCCGCGATGCCCCCGCTTACGGCTCACGCCATGCGGCAGCTTCGCCCGGGTACAAAGGCCGAGGGTATGACAGACCCGCGGCTGCCAAGCCGTACGAGATCGGGCACGAGGCACAGCACAGGACTCATCTCGATGCTAGACAGGAACACTCTGGTGTCGATGCTGGAGGCTCGGAGCGCGGTGGATAAGGAGCGCAGGGAGCTGGGGGGGGCGGAGGCCGGAGAGCCGGGGGGAGCGGGGACCGGTGGGCAGGCGGGAGCACTCGCAGCTGTGGACCCGGGGGCTGGAGGAGCGGGCTTTCCACTCGCATTTGCCACGCTCCTCGCCAACCGGGAAGACATCGACGCCACGCTGCGAGACCAGCGCCCGCCGGAGCAACGCCCTGGTCTTCCTCACTGCCAGGCCAGCGACCTTCGTGTCCCCAAGAGCTACAAAGAGGGCATGGCGTCGGAGCACCGGCACCTTTGGAGCGACCCTATGCAAAGGGAGTTTTACGGCTTGTTAGAAGCGGGGGCTTTTACTCCGGCGAAGTAGCAATAAGTGAAGAGAACGCAATCAACGCTAAGTGGGTATTCGATTGGAAGGCAGATGAGTTTGGATGGCCCACTAAGGTTAAGTCGAGACTTGTAGCGAGAGGTGATATGCAGAGAGAGCATTGACATTGAAGAGTTGTACGCGCCTACCGTTTCTGTTTCGTGTGGTAGGATGTTGGCTGCTTTGGCGTGCGAGTTGAACCTCGACTTGTGTCATTTCGATATTGAGCAAGCTTTTGTGCGTTCGGAGTTGGAGGAAGACGTGTACATGCGTTTGCCGCAGGGATGTGGAGCTCCATCTGGAATGATTGTAAAACTAGGCAAGGGTCTGTATGGCTTGAGACAGGCATCTAGGCAGTGGCATGCAATGCTGAAGAGGTGTTTGGTAGAGTTAGGTTTTGAGCAGTGCATGGCCGATGCTTGTGTGTTTCGTTTGATTGAAGATGGGNTGAGACCGGTAGGTTGACGATTTCCCAGCAGACTTTCACGGATGAGCTAGCAGAAGAATATGGAGTAGTGGGAGGTGAGACCGTTGCGATGTCTTCGGGGGTGAAGCTTCCTGATTTTGATGCGGATGAGGTGGCGACAGACTTTCCGTTTCGTGAGCTGGTAGGATCGTTGATGTGGCTGGCGACTCAGACTAGACCAGACATTGCGAATGCAGTAAGGGCAGTAGCTAGGTATTGCGCATCTCCGAAGCTGGTACACTGGAATGCAGCGATGGATATTTTAGGCTATGCGAGGAGGACGAGTCACTTTGGTATTTCGTTTCAGAGAGGTACGGTAGAGGGATTCAGCTTGCAGGGATACGCTGATGCGGACTTTGCAAGCAAGGCAGCAGACCGTAGGTCGGTAACAGAGGGGATCGTGACGTGTGGAGGAGGCGCTGTGCCTTGGTTTTCCAGAACGAAGAAGTGTGTCACGCTTTCGACCACCGAAGCAGGGTACGCCGCCCTAGGTGACGTAGTGAAGGAGAGTTTGTTTTTGAGGCAGATTTGGCGTTTCATGTTGCCGCAGGTCGGCATGCCGTGTATCCCCATCTTCGAGGACAACCAGGGGGCGATTCAACTAGCGCAGAACCCCATCTCAAACTCGAACTCGAAGCACATAGATGTAAGGCACCATTTTCTCAGGAAACTGGTAGAGAGAAAGGAAATTTTGGTCATCCACGTGCCGTCGCCGTACCAGCGTGCAGACTTTAGAGTTTGTCGAAGGATGCTTTCGAGTCTCACCGTGATTATGTGATGAATTTGGCATGAACATTTTATTGTTTTTCTGATGGGTTGTATTTTGGTCTTGTTCTGTTTCCCGCTTTGATTCATTTCCCGCGCAAAGTATTTGTTAAGCGCGATGCAGCATTCATATTTCATTGAATTGTTTTTCTCTCATGTGTTATTCTGGTCAAGTCTTTGTGGTATATATTCTGGGAAAGACGTCTTTTGGTTGAGATATCGGGTGTTAGCGAAGTTTTCAGTGAGAAACTGTTGCGAGCAGGGGGGATGTTTGATATATAAATGAACGTGCCACATAGTCAAAGCATCCGGGCCTTGTCACAACATGCTTCCTCCCAAACATCTCGTGCAACTCTCACAGCATCCTCTCGTTAGGCCAGGTGACACTGTTTCAACAGTCTCATGCGTAATTACTGTCTCCACACGCCACTCCATCGAGTGTACCACGATGCCCATGAACCATGACGACCAGTAGATCTTGCGCGTGGTTGATAAGAGGCCTCTTCGCCCGGTTCTGCCCCATTTTTTCAGGCGGTAGACATCCTGCTGCACCGCGTCATGTGGCGTTACACCAAAGCGCACATGGCGTCGATACGCCAGGACCTGTCCAAGGGGCAACTTCTGGGAGAGGACTAATTCACCAGGACTTGCTCGCACAGGTGACTTTTTGGTCCGTTGAGTGGTTTGCCCTGAAAGAGTTGTTTCCGAGAAGCCATGACGAGATGTACTCGAGGTCGTGTGTAAGCAGGTGTACATACGTATAAGATTTGGTCACTTTTCATGCTTGGGCATTTCATTCTCTATCGGCAATGAGAGTCTTTTCTCGCGCTTCCTTCTTAGGGGCACGCAGGAGGCTAGTCGGTACATAAACGCCCGTGCACGAAGTTCGCTAGGCCTCCGTGGCTAGTGTGTTTCACTGTCAAAGTTGTGAAAACTGGCTCTATACCCGGGGGTGCGATCCGCGCCGAGTCTGGGGAACCAACTCTGAAACTCATCACAAACGACAGTTTGGAAATTTTGCCTCCTGCGTGTTTTCTCCACCTTCATCTATTCATTCGCTGATTTCACATGGCTGTGATCCTTGGTGTCATCCCAATGTTCAACAGTACCTATGTTTGGTCTTTAGTTCGCACGGACCAAGTGCAACACTGCCGCTGCAGACAAGTCTAAGTGCATGCACCGGCAGTGTTTAACATTTTTTGTTAGTGGCACTGTTTCTGATTCACATTTTTTTGGAAATCTGCCATCACAAGACACAATTGTAGAAGTAGACATTGATTTTTTGCTGGCAAGTTGTTGTCTGATCGAGCTATTTAGCTGGCTCCAATGTCAAATTCGTGCTCGAAGTCTTGAACGGAATACAAGCTCGAAGAAATTTGACGGCATACGGCCCCTCTTCGGGAAATGCGCATGTGGTATTGCGTCGCCCGCGGGAGGCTTGACATCCACATCTCGAAGGGAGACCTTGAGCCCCAGGAATTATTTGTGTGTAAACCTTCTACGTTGAAGAGAAAAACGCCAGCGGGTAGCAGGCAAAGAATGTGACGAAAAACATGGTTAAGAACGACTCAGCATACAAAACGGCCCGGCTCATTTTTCTTTCGTTGTTGTTTCCCTGCCTCCCTGCCTTCTGACGGCGTGTGCTGTAAACGAGGTCATCACGCCGGCGCTCCTGCATGCGGGGGACGACGTCGGCGCCCTTCCCGTCGAAAAGATCGGCACGCAAGAGAGCGTGGTCTACAAGTGCCTACGGAATGCCAGAGCGTCGGGTAGGCTAAGCAACGGCGGCCTTGGCCCCACAAACGCGAGGTCTTTCCAGGAGAGGTAAGATTTCCCGAATGGAGCTTTCCTCAACCTCCACGCCAGCTACTATCCGGCGCACCCCACACGCTTCGATCACCATGCTGTCGAGTATTGCGTCCTCATGTTGTTGCTGGCCGTCGTAGCCGACTCTAGTTGTGAGATTCTTCCTCCATTTCAGAGTCGCATAGCTTGTTATTCTTGATTATTTCTTTCGCTAAAATTCGGGCGTCAACACCTTCTTGCTGGTTTGCAGGAGCAGGCAACATCGACCCAAGTCCTGTCCTTCTGTCAAGTGTTTTGTCGTCTTGTTACTAGCTTTCTGTTCAATAATTCATCTAGTCCTCCCTTTCAGTTGTGAGATTCGCGCCGGGTGGTGCTTGTATTCATTTGAAGCACCCCCTACCCCACCCCCCCGGTGTTTGCCATCGGGGTTGGGTTTTCGTCGCTTGGCAATGGCGTTGTAAAACAAGCCCCCCCTTCAGTGTTTGCCGTCGGGATTGGGTTTTCGTCGCTTGGCAATGGCGTTGTAAAACAAGCCCCCCCTTCAGTGTTTGCCGTCGGGATTGGGTTTTCGTCGCTTGGCAATGGCGTTGTAAAACAAGCCCCCCCTTCAGTGTTTGCCGTCGGGATTGGGTTTTCGTCGCTTGGCAATGGCGTTGTAAAACAAGCCCCCCCTTCAGTGTTTGCCGTCGGGATTGGGTTTTCGTCGCTTGGCAATGGCGTTGTAAAACAAGCCCCCCCTTCAGTGTTTGCCGTCGGGATTGGGTTTTCGTCGCTTGGCAACGACGTTGTAACAAGCCAATTCACTTCGCGAACTCGGCAACCAGGTTACCGTTTTATATTTTTCCTCTGTTATTTTTTTGGCGGTAACCATCATGGTGGTCGAGTAGATCATGTTGTGCGGGGTTGAGAGCCCTCACTCCGCGCAAGGGGGATGATTGCACCACGTTATGTTAAAATGGTCAAGCACCCTCGAGGCAGTTACACAGTGCTTACAACTGTCTCTGGAAGTGAACCACCAGAAAATATACTAAGTCATACGCAGCTGTCATCCGTGTGCAAGGAAGTAAGCACAAGATGCCGAACACCCTTAGCAGGATGCAGCGCACCCTTCATGCGACTCGCCGAATATCTCACGGCGCTTCGCGCTTGGTGATGTGAGAGCCTGNACGGCAAGCACGACTTTGAGTACACCCCCCCAACCCCAAGTTGTAGGTAGGAGAAAACAACGGGTAACTAGTTCGCGTGTTATATTTGCTCATCACGCGTGTTTACGCGCGTCACTCAATCTGGCAGAGGTTTCTTACACACAGGAATCAAACACCACGTTTTACCTTATGCAGTTGCCGTTCCTTTTCCCGCGTCATTGTCGGCCCAGCCTATGGTAATCTCTACTGTAGTTCATGACGGGCCCGCGTCGCACCGCCCACGGCATCTTCAGCGTCCCCCGGTCCGACTACGTGAAGCCCGAGATCATGCGCCTCCGGTCCCCACAAAGGGGCGGAAACGACAACCTCGTCGTAGAGGAAACCCCGCAGGAAGACGTCCAAGTCGATGATGTCAACCTCGGCGCATTTCTCTAAGACATGAAGAAAGTGTAGCACAACATTCCTTCACAAGTTCAGCGTCCGCGTGGGTCGCAGAATTGATAGCGATGTTGGCGGGCGTAGCGCTTTGGTGTGGTGTTTTCGGGAGCAGGCTGCTTGCCCGTCAGCGTATTCGGCAGTATTGTGGGTCATCAATGTCGTGCAGCGGTGTTGACTGTTAATTATTGAGGAACCCGTCAAACATGTTCACACCACAGTAGGTGCGCGCGGAGCTTCGAGTGTATCAACACAGCGCAGATGTATCTCGGTGGCAAGAGGTTTGAGAGGAACCCAAGCAGTGCGGTGCGACGGTCAAGGTGCTAGAGTAGCTTTTGTCGGAGCTTGTAGTTTCGTTGACTTGATTTTATTTCTAAGCACAAGAGTGTCAGCTTGAGCGGGTACATGCGAGCTGCGGGGAACTGAAGGCAAGGGGTGCATTTTTCTGTCATCTACTTTGATCGTGTGGCTCACCATGCGTTCTGGTTGATGGCGTGCATACACTCCATCGAAACTGTACAAGAAGATGGTTCGAGTTGTGAGCCCCACTCTATAATTTGGTTGGCGGGTTTGGGTGTTTGGTTACATAGTAAGCACCGGGAACTTCATGATGTTGTGTAGTTGATCTGGTTGGACCCTGTCAACATTGGGTAGAGAGGTTTGCTTGAGCGACCAGAAAGGGAAGTTAAATGGTGGAGGTTCTTGTCATGTGCATCGATCGTGTGGCTCATCACGGTTCCTATATTTTGGTTACATCCGTAAGATGTCGTGTACGTTGAATCGGAAGTAGCCATCATGTTTGGGTTGTGCGCCCCCCTAGTTTGTCATTTTCATGGCGGGTTTGGGAATAAGCACAGGGCAGGGACAATCAGTCAATATTCATCGTTGATATGCATACATGTTGACTGCTTTCAGCATTGCAGAAAATATTCCGTCTGCATTTTCGGACTACTCGCGAGTTTTTTCTGGCTTGCAGGGCCGATATGATGTGCGCATGGATATAGTGTCAGCGGGGTTGCTGCACGATTGAGCCACTGATGAAACCTGTCCTCCAGTCGCGATAAACGAAACCCCATATGCCAGTGTATCGCACCACACAGAAGTCGCCGCCCTAGATTGCCGGCAGGGTGCGATTCGGGCGACCCTGGCAGGGTGGATCCTGTCCGAGGTGTTCATTTCAGACCCTGCCGGTGGTGCGCCTTGCAGCGGTTCACAGGGTAGGTCACCTTCGCAGGGTGTTTCCCCCCGCCCTGTCAGGGTAGCCGAATGGCTACAGCTGCAGCCTACAATGGGCGGCGCATCGTCTGCAGGTCATGGGCAAGTCAGCAAATAGTGGGGTACGCATGGGCAGCCTTTGTTGTGGGCAGCCCATCGTGGGCAGCCGATGGTCACAGCCCATCTATCGTGGGCTACCCACACAGACGGTTGCCCACGGGCAGCCCACCAAATGCAGACCATCAAAAGCCGCCAACCCGTGGTGAGCATGTTGAAGACGACCATTTGGCCACCCATGGGCTGCGCATAGCAGGCGGAATTGCTGTGAAATGTCGGCGGCCCAACCTTGGTAGTCCACATGGTGAGCGTTTAGGGAAATGTTCCCATGGGTATGGCTGTTGGCGGCCCATCT